GAACAGAATATAGGCCCGAACATGATGAAGAAATAGACCATGACCTAAGTCATCATATCATTCTCGGTAGAATGTCCAACGGAGCCAACACAAAGGTAGCATTGACTCTAACTGTGCACTACCCATCTTGAAGGTGGTTGTGTCTTCTTCATCACCTGGTGCATGGTACATAGTATCCCTGCCTGGATGTGTTCCTAGCAGTTCATCACAGCATTCTGGCCAGGATTCCCAACGGCGACCAACACCCACCACATTCGAGCCCAGAACAGCTGGGCCATCAATTCTCAAGCCAAGTATAACCTGGACATCTTGGAGCATTATTGTCATCTCTCCGACCGTAAAATGAAAGCTGTTCGTTAGTAGACACCATCGCTCTACAATAACTTAATATGAGACAGTCGAAAAAAGAACCAGCGGAGACGCCTATTTTCAATAAAAAAAATATGAGACAGTCGAAAAAAGAACTTAATATGTTACTATATAAGAAACGTAATTAATGCAACTGCTAGGTCACCTGATTAGGGTCATGAGCCCTATGTGATGTGCCTATTGAAGTAATGCTCATTTCTCGAATTGACTCCTCCCCACGCTCCTCATGTGTGGTATGACGCCCACCACGTCGTTTCCTTGATCTATCAGCCATTAACTATATTTGCATAACCAAGGTATTTTTAATGCAACACCATGTGGAGTCGTGGAAAGATTCAATACACTAAGCAAATTTTTATTAGGGTTTCAAAGGTAAATAGGAGAGAACATGAACATCTGTAACTAGCTTTCCATTAATTAAGACATCATACATCATTGTCCTTCAAATAAACTAACATAAATAAACTAACGTAGAGAACATGAACATCTTGAACTAGCTTTCCATAAATTAAGACATCATACATCATAAAGGTTAATAGGAGAGAACATGAACATCTTGAAGTAGCTTCAAATAAACTAACATAAATGTTATAATGATTATTTTGATACACAGCATGTAAGTGCCTCAAACTATCGATACTCTACATGATGTGGATCCCAATCCTTGGACGTAGCTTTGAGATGGCATGCCTCGATCTGCCGACGATATCTTTAAATCATTAAGAAAAAATTAATCAGTAGACTCAATCTCAAAATCAAACCAACCATATAACATATTGTAGTAAAATAAATATTATTTTAATATGTTTTATACCTCGATGATCATGGATTATTTGGGCATGTTGCTCTATTATGATCATTTTGCTTGCAATGTCCGCACCTCTTATTCGCTGTTGAATTAGCCTCATCCATTGTGTTACTAAATCTATTTGTCCTCGGTCTACCTGCACGCCTCTAAAAGCCGGTGCAAGTAAATGTATGATTTCCTGAACTTTGCTGAAGTTCGGCCAAACTTCCTTCGGGGGAACAACATGAAAAAGGCTGGAGTACGTTTCCCTATAGGAGTTGAGTGTGAAGTACTGTGATACAAATGGATTATGATTCCATCGCCTATATCCGGCGACCGCTATGACATGAACGCACGACACATGATAGAGTTGTGGTCTCTTACATGTGCAGGTACAATTTTTAAGTGATGGAATCTCAACTCTATGTGGGCGACATGACGAATCCACAACTTCAAATTCACCTCTATTAATAGTTATGGGTTGTGGGCATCTTCTAGCCTCACGTTCAGTTCGCTGTAACATAGCCATCGTATGTGGAACAAATTCAGATTCCCCAGACATAAGCCACTTCTCAACGTCTGTAGAATGCCTAACGAATAAAGATACAAGGTTATAATATGTGTACATTACCAGACCTTGAATTGGAAGTCCACGAGCACGTTTAAGAACTCCATTAAAACATTCTGATGCATTGGTTGTCATGATGCTGTATCGACATCCGTTGTCAATTAGTAATGACCACTTACTAACATCACGTTCTATTAACCAGTCATATGCCTCTTGCTTCACATTTTTAATGTGGTTCATCATGCGAGTGAAGTTCATGATATCATCAGTACTACATGCTAAGTACATGTTAATGCACAGGCCTTCAACATTAGGAATTGCTTTACGACGTAAAAAATTTTTGTAATTCTCACGCAGATGACGTAGGCAGTGTCTATGAACGGCGTTAGAAAAAATTTCTCGGCACCCTCTCACCAAACCATGATACTTATCAGATATTATACATAAATTTTGACGGAGTTGAACTACTTCGACCAAGTCATGTAAGTTCTTAAGGAACCAAACCCATGATTCGTTGCTCTCGGATTCAACAACTGCAAAGGCCAACGAAAATAATCCACCGTTTGCATCAATTCCCACAGCTACAAGAAGTGTGTCACAATACTTCCCTAGTAGGAAAGTTCCATCAAGGCTTAGGACGGGCCGATAATGTTGCCACCCAGAAATTGATGGCCAAATGCCCAAAATAAAGCCTTAAATCGTGAACCTCCAACCAATTCAATATTGGATACAGTTCATGGTTGGGTCAACCGTATAGCTTCCATAAAACATAGAAGGGAACGATATGATTCCTCATACATACCAAATATTGATTCGATAGCTTTTCTACGTGCATCTCATGCCTTAATGTATGAAATCTTCATTTCAAACTTCGACTCTATTCTTGTAATTACCTCCTTCGGCTTCATATCGAGCTGTTGTTTTATAATAGGCATGATATGCTTACATATAAATTTCGAGGTGCAATTATGATGCCCACCAAGCATAATAGGCTGAGTGCAACTATGTGGAGGACCCACGGATGAGACTTTCCAAAGGCCACCAAGTCTTTTACTTC